CTAATATGTACAATATTTTCATTTTTTACCATGAATTAAGCAATATTTACAGTTTTCTTACACGACAATGTGCAATATTTACAGTTTTCTTTACCAAATATTTACAATATTTACTTGTTTTTTACCCTGACTTAAGCAATATTTACAGTTTTCTTACGCGACAATGTCCAATATTTACTGTCTTCTTGACCTAATATGTGCAATATTTCAATATTTTTTTTTATTTTAAACATTTTTTCCAATTTACAATGTGCAATATTTACAGTTTTAATAACATTATTTATTAATATTATGTGCAATATTTCAATATTTTTTTAAATTTTAGCATTTTTCCCAATTTACAATGTGCAATATTTACATTATTTATTAATATTATGTGCAATATTTCAATATTTTTTTAAATTTTAGCATTTTTCCCAATTTACAATGTGCAATATTTACTGTTTTATTAACATTATTTATTAATATGTGCAATATTTCAATATTTTTTACATTTTTATTTTTATTTTTCCCAATTTACAATGTGCAAAGTGTACACTTTCTTAACATTATTTATTAATATTATGTGCAATGCTTCAATATTTTTTTAAATTTTAGCATTTTTCCCAATTTACAATGTGCAAAGTGTACACTTTCTTAACTTACCACTGAGCCTGAGGTGTCCCTCGTCGAATCGGATCTGCCGGGAATCTTCTTTAATGAGGGACACGTCGGTTTTTCCCATGTTGTTGAACTGGAATGTGAAGAGTCTCCTCCTCCGCCCCCCCGTTTGCTGAACGGCGGCGGGGGCCGGCGGCGCCCCCCCCACGCCGTTCTCCAGGTCGGTGTCCCCGCCCACCGAGTCCTCTGATTGGCTGTTGTCGTTCTCGGAGGGAAGCTCCTGATCCTGACTCGACTCCTCGTCCTGCTCATCCGTCTCCATCTCACCTGGATGAGCAATATTTACACTTTTTTAACCGCAAATAAGTCATATTTCCAGTAATGTGGAATATTTACAGATTTGATCCTATAATGGGCAGTACCTGGAGAGGAGATGGGCCTCAAATAAGTCATATTTACTATCTACAATGAGCAATAATTACAGTTTTTATCCGATAATGAGCAATATTTACACTTTTTTACGCTCAAATAAATAATATTTTCAGTTTTATACCCTCAAATGTGGGATATTTACAGATTTTAGCATATATTAGGCATTTTTAACAGTTATTCTTTACCCTAAAATAATTATTATTTACATTTTTATGCTCTACAATGAGCAATAAGTAACATTTTTATCCTATAATGAGAAATATTTACAGTTTTTCACCGTACAATGTCCTTTATTTACATTTTCTTTACCCTGAAATAAGTTATATTTACAGGTTTTTACTACCCTCACATAAGTAATATTTACAGTTTTTTACCCTATTATGTGGAATATTTACAGATTTGATCCTATATTGAGCATTATTTACAGTGATTCTTGAATTTAATTTTCTAAAATAAGTAATATTGACAGTTTTTACTCTATAATGTGCAATATTTAGAGTTTTTAGGCTGTGAGTGGGCAGCTCCATCAGGGCAGGATGTTTCCCAGCTCTACCAGACAATAAAAACTATTTTCTGGCAGAAACTCACTGGGCAGAAACTTACTGACTTGTTTAATTCCTCTAATATTTTTGTTGTATCCTTTACTACTTATTCTGGCCTTTCAAGAATATGGATAGTGCTAAATGTAATGTTATTAAGTGTGTTGATACATAGAGAGAGTGGGCGGGGTGGGTGTATTTTTTATTCTTATTTTTTTTGGGGGGGTTGAAAAAGAAAAAGAATAATAGTGTACCCTGGATGTAGATTTTGTATGGACATACATTCTGAATAAATATATATATATATAAAAATAAAAAAAAGGAACTCACTGGGCGACCCCTCCTCCATGAGCCCGTTGGTGGCGTTGCCGTTGACGACGTGCTGCTTAACGGGCTGCGTCTCCTCGTCCTCCTCTTCCTCCACGGAGGATCGGACAAATCGACTGGAGGGAGAAACAGGGGGCCAGAGATGTTCAATAACAAAGAAGAACTACCTAAGTACTGTACTTAAGTACCAAAATGTAGTATCTGGTCTTTAATAATAATAATAAACAATAATAATAATAATTAATAATAATTCAATAAAGTATCTGTACTTTATTTAAAATGTTTTTCCTACTTCTACTCCAGTACTTATACAGACGTAGCAGCTAACGTTAGCTAAAGCTAACCTAGCTGGCTAGCTGGATGCTACATGCTAGCATAAAGGCTCAGCTCAGGATTCTGACTCTGGAATAATAAATAATAGCAAATGAAGTGCTGTTGGTTGCTAATGCAGATGTAGTTTTCTGTTTTTTGTAAACACCTGTACGGCCTTTCACACGTTTGAAATAATATAAACAATATCTATCAAACTTTTGAATGCCTTTTTTTTAATTTACACAGTACTTGAGCGTTTACTTATACTTACTTTACTTATACTGCAATGTTTGAAATACTTCGACTTTCAATACCTACTTCCATAGTTCCACTTAAGTATAGTGTTGAAAGAATACTTCTACTTTTACCCAAGTCAATTTTTTTATACAGCACTTGTACTTCTACTCCACTTCTCTACTCCAGTACTTTATATATCTTTAGTTGGGGGTAGGATGGACCTACCAGAGCCGCAGCAGCAGCATGTTGTAGAACTTTTCCTCGCTGAGCGTTTTGGGCACGGCGATGAGGAAGGGCTGGCCGAACAGCGGCGTGCTGG